GTGTCCGCGCTGCTGGCTGGTAACACAAGCCTGCGGGCCTTCTGCTTCGGCCGGCTGCACACTTCGTGCAATGGCCGCTGTCGAATGGGAGCAGTGGGTTCTCGATGCTGCTCCTCTTCAGACTCCTCTCTCCATCGACGCTTCCGCGGCACTCTTGCTGCGGGTGTGTTTCTTCCCTCGTCCCTCTGCCTCGGTGGAGTAGAAGCTGGTGACTCCTCTGCGTCGGTGTCGACCTCGTTATCCCGCACATACTTCCCGGGATGGTCGACTGACAATGGCGGAAAGCGAGCAAGCTCCGCCGCGGTCAAACAATTTCGCTGTCGATAAAAATTGATCAAGAAAGGGGAGAGGTGATCGAGAGTTCCCCCCTTCTCCTCAGACGCGTGCTGCCGCATCACTCTGTGCAGGATGCTCGCCCAGTGAATTGGAGCTCCCTCGATGATGAGCTCCACAAAAAAAACCTGCCACAAGGTGATGTAGCAAGCGCGGTGTGGCTGCAGTAATTGCAGCAGCGCCGTCGCCACAGTTCGGCGGAAGCGATCTTTGTAGTCGCGGGTCTTGTACCCATTCTTGGTAGACCTCTCCCGCTTGAACAACTCCACAAATTGCGCCTCGTCCTGCTTCGACACCTTGACGCTCTCACTATCAAAGAGGAGGTGCCCTGGGATGCCGGCACACCTTCCCAATGCCTGCGCCCAATCTTGGACGATCCACCGATCAACATGCGGACGCAATCCGCGCGAAGGTGGTCGCTGTGGCTCCAGCCACTCGCACACCATATCCACACAAATGTAGTTCCATCCCCATAGCAAGAAATCGAGCTTTCTTGCAATCAGCCGTTCCTCGTAGGCGCGCAACCCGTTCTGTGGAAGCCGGAGCGGCAGCATCCGCAATCGGTTCAGCTTCGACATTGCGTTCTTGGAATTCGCTTGCTCGCTAATTCTCTCTCTGCTCCGCTCGAGCTCCTTGCTCCCTTAGCAAACTCTAATCTCACTTAATTCCAAATCGCGCGCACTCAATTCTCTCTCAATCAACAAGTAATCCTCTGCGCGGCGATGTCTGGAATGCTTAGCAGCTAGCAGATGGACGCGCGCAGCTCGCACTAGAAAATGGAATCGCGAATTCAAGAATGGGGCGCTCTCCGTCTCCCGGTCGAAGGTCATGGTCGGCTCTTGATCGTGAGGGTCGAATCACTTGATGGCCGCGCCGGCTCTACGCTAAAACGGTCTCCGCTCTCACGCGCGGCTTCACGCTCCGCCGACGCTGATTTAACTCACACGCTCGAATTGGCGAATTTGAACTCCGCGAGCGTACTACGCCGCGGACATAGGTGCGCAGCGCCGAAGGCGTCTTTTCCGCCTTGCGCGGTACACTCGTTCGTACCGCTCCTCGGCCAATCCTCCTCCGCCTAAGGCAATCGTCCGCGCATCGGACAAAAGTTAAACTCCCGCCTGTGCGTAGGCGGAATCCCCGGCGGAATCTCCGCCAACGCGGAACTTCACCCGCCTGTGCGTAGGCGCTCGCCTGCGCGTAGGCGAATTCCGTCCGCGCTGCTGCGCTGGCGCGGAAGGCGTTGACCGCGGTCAACAGACTCCGTCCAGACTGTCCGTCTCTTGTCTCTCCGTCGGCGCTCTCGCCGCCGCAACTCCGTCTGACCAAGAGCGCATCCATCCGTCCCGTCCGTACAGTCCGTACGGTCCGTTCGGATTTTACTACTCCGGCGGTTCCTCGCCCGTCCGCGCTGTTGCGCTGGCGCGGAAGGCGCCGTACAATTTCTATCTCCGAAGGCGCATTTCTAGGGCCGAAGGCGGATTTCCCGCCGACGCCTTAGCGCCTGTGCGCAGGCGACCGCCTGTGCGTAGGCGACAATCGCGCCTACGTCAAAACCCTATTCCGCCTACGCGTAGGCGAACTGCTTTCGTCCGCGCATAGGACAAAACTTTCTTCGCCTGTGCGTAGGCGGAAAGCTGAGTATCTTGCGACCTTCATAACTCCCGGAGTCCTCATCCGTTGTGGCGTTCTTGGGCTCGTTGGAATCAACGCGTCGAGCTCTTTCCAACAAGACCCTAACCAAGTCGAGGCGTTAAGGGATTGACCCAATTCTGAAGGATTCCTCTAGCGCCGAAGGCGGATTTTGCGCCTTGCGCCGAAGGGATCATACCTTCAGAGCTCGCAGGGAGGGCGGTGTCCGCCCCTGACGTTGCACCCTACTCCTCGATACTACGAGCTCCCGTGAGAATCTTTGCGATCTTCCGAATTCACTCTGTTTTGATGCACCGAAGGCTATTTACACTGCTGCCGCGGTACCGTTTCCCAAAAATGTTTTAATTTCCTCAAAAATACCAAAAGTGGGGTACCACAATCTGATATAACTTAGCAAGTTCATTTATGCTGGATGATGAGAATCTTTAAGTAGATTGCTGTATTATTAAAAAAAATACAGGAATTGTATGCTATGGAGTCCATGATTGGAATATTGTTTAAGCTCTTATAAGTGAATTACAAGATATCAGACCATGATCATTTTGCATGTCACTATATAATGAGCTCGTGGCATAGAAAATTGAGATATCTTTCTGAACCTAATATGAGGATCTTAGAAAAGATGGTGGATGGCGTGAAGTTATCGAAAGTTTACTTACAATTATGTGATTTTTTTGCTGTGGGCAAATCACACAAGATATAATAACATACAAAATTATCAAATAGATCGGGATATTTGTTGGAAATAATTCAGACGTTTGTGGCTCAATGACTTACAAGAGCATACAATGCGCACTGGGATACTTTACTTCGTTGATGACATAAGTTGAGAGAGTTTTGTCTATTTTTTGAAAGACAAAGATGAGATATTGGATAGAATCAAAGTTCTGTATTTATGAACATGGTAGAGACTTTAACAATAGAGTGGTAAAAAATTAATGGGATTGAGTCAAAAAATATGTATGATTCACAAGTAAGCTGATTTTATGGAGAGTAAGTGGGTTCTAATAGAGTGATAGCTAGAAATAATCCGTCACAAATTAGATTAAACTAAACTCTGGTTGTCTGCCTAGTCAACATGGTCAAAATCTACACAACGGATGCAACTTACTATTTCAAAGTTACTTAATTTACAATCAACGCATTCTCACATGTTTCTGGATCAGGAGATTCCCACCATAACCTTTTTTTTTACAGCTTCGTAGAGCATTGCATCTCAGCTCTCACTTACTTGAACCTTCCCTGCAACTGTCCTCTTTATATAATTTTCAGCCATTGCACTGGACAAATTGTAACTGCCAGTTGGATGAATTAGTCAAGACTTTCTTCGTCAAATATTACATTCAGTAGTAAATGTCAATATTAACCACATGGTCACCTTCACAACGTCCATGTCATCCGCATCAGATGTATGACATATCGATTGGAAGAAGCTTATTCAAAATTGTATTTGTTTTGTGGTGTAGAGTTTCATGTGCTAGAACGAAGGGCTGCCGGTGCAAAAATTGGAATAGAAAATTTTAAACGTTTATCGGTTTGTGAATCAAACTCATTGATCTAATGCAAGGATGTAATTAAAAGAAAATCTTAATTTTCAAACATTGGAGATACACAAAAAATTTCTACATTATGCATTTAACATAACAAGTCTTGAGAGACATGTTTTCCACTTGCCATAAAGTGAATAAAATTGATATAGCTTTCTAAATACGTTTTTATTTTTTCTCCCCATTTGATCCGTATCTTCTGAAAAGATTGAATCAGATCATTTACATCATAATTACACTAAAAACATCCCACAATAAAATAGTCATATCAATATCATTAATCATTTGAAATTCTTGACATGATTGTTTGTAAAATTTTATTCACAAATCCAAAAACCTAATTGCAAATGGTTGGTAACATAAGTTTGCAGTGCTAATTATCCCTGAAATTAATAAATATAGATAATTTACCATAAATCTTATTTAATCCTAATTTACTGTTGAATTCTTTTGATAATCAATTGTAAAAATGAGTTTCAGTCGCAATAGATAGATTATATGTGTAGATAATGTTAGTTTTGTGGTTGTTTGAAAAATCAAAATGTGTACATATTCAGAAGTAACTTTGAAGACTACATATATTGTTGCAAAATCATCCCACAAAATAAATCATTTGTTCTACTCAATATCGTAACACTGGTTTTGAGATTTAGCATCATTCTGTGCTCTTCTTTTGTAAACTCATGAGTTAACAACAGGTTGTAAAAACTGAATCATATTCTAGATTCATCTAATCATTCTTCTAATGTAGAAATCTAAACTGGATGATTGAGTCGATCACATATTTTACTTTTAAACAGTCAATTGTATAATAAGTGTATTATCATCAGTAAAATGTGTAACAAGTGTTTCTGAAGTATAAATTATTTTATGATACACATTTCAACACAATGATTTATATACCTTTTGAATATAGAGTTTTTTCTAGGTATTTTACAAGTCTATGAGTTAGAGCATTCAAATTCTCATCATTTGAGAGATGTGAAATCATAAGCATTTATAAGAATCCCACTTAAAATAAGATCATGATGGAACATGTTATTCCACATGAAAGGATTCCAGACATTGTCCGGACAAGATATTGTAATGAAAGAGATGCATCAACGTCACATCTAGAAATTGAAGATGTTGACAAACAGAAAAGTAGTAAAAAAATTCTGCGACTCCACAACATGATTTAGGACATAGTTAAAATTGCATTGGTCCGATGACCAGAAGCATCGCGAATAAAAAACGTCTGAATTCTGATTTGGTGTAACGTCACGTTCAAGCAGAAAGAAACGAGCCGCAACTAGAATCGTTTCTTCAACGAGTATCAGTTCAATCTGGGTAGGGGAAGGAGGAATGAACTGGAGACCATGTAGAGCTTACTTGACACAACGTCTCTAGCAGGATGGCCACAGTAAACCCGAATTCAAACACGCGAAGTGGATCATACGAAATTGACGTTTGGATATTCCGTTAAGATTATGAACTTTCTTGTACGAACGAAGCGAACATTCCACTGTAATTACAATAATGAATAAGACTGCTGTGAATCGGATAATCAACGTCCAAAGGACCGTGAGAGAAGATGACCCTAATAGCAAATTCGAATGTTAGTGAGTTTTTGATAACCTCATTTGTGCACCAACGAACGAACAGTAAATTCGATCTAATTTGCAATCGAATTTCACCAGTAAATAACGAATGAACAGGAAATTATGAAGTTTCACCAATCACGCTACAGGCAGGCCGTTTGTCAGGCAAACTTCTGAAATGGTTCTGAAAACATGATGCTATGGTTCTGAAGTGGTCTACCATGTTCTTCTTCCCATGATTGCTTTCGAAAAAGAAAATTCTGGTCGCTGGGTAAAGAATCTTCTGCATCTCTTCGACAAGGAGTTCTGTTTCCTGGGATGTTTGTCGAAATTTATCCCTTAACCGTGAGAGGTTTATCAGAGGACGTGGAGTGCGACCTTGTTTTACATTTCCGTTACTTGTGGAACTTGGCATGTTCCTCTAGGAAAGGCCGCTGAGTCCAAGAGATTTCCTGGGTCCTATTCGGACAGGGCGAAAACCTTACTTCCTTGAAATTCCACCTGCCTGAAATTTATGATACGACAAAACACATCCAGCAGCTTTGTTCCCACCTCATGCTGTGGATGTTCAGAAAGCGATCTAAGAGCGATCTGCATCAGTCAAGATAATCACGAAGCATCTGAAAAAAAAAACCTAACTGACAAAAAATGATTTTAGAAGAACTTGGCGGCAGGAGCGATCTGTCAAGGGCTCTAGGTCAGAGTGATCGAGCATCGGCTCTTTCAAGAGGTATCTCATCTTCATGTTCATTCACATGCATGAGAGAATCCATGCCAAGAAGTCTTCAAATGAAATCTCTGCAGAGAGCTGGAGTCTAAACTATGCTGCCTACGTCTTGCCCTTCAAACTCGGGCTTGTATAGAACCATGGATACGTACTTGGATCGAAAACGGTGGGTAAAACCCAGGCATGCACACAATCCCTGACCCGGAATCTTGTGGGCTGATATGTCTCTGAACATATGATTGATAGTGGCATAATGAGGTGGAGGAATTACACTCGGTTCCCCTTCCAGATGCGTGGCATTAAGCACCGTGGTGGACAAATGTGGGGGCAGCAACGGAGGTTCCTTCTCAAAATCCTCATAGGTAAAAAAGTCGGATGTGTAACTCGATCTTGGTGACTCTGGACCCTGATTGAGAATGGCTGGTCGCGTACTCAGAAACGCCTCTCCAAATCGTCTCTGTTGAAAACCAGTCAGGCGCAAGATTCCATTACTGTCAAACTTTTGATTGAGCAGAGTTCGATGTACAGTTTGCAACTGGGAATAAGCAACTTGAACACAAAGTTGTTGTGAAACCTGATGATAACATCTAATGCAAGCATCAGTTTCTAATCCAGTAAACCCAGTTTGCCATCTCTGCAGTTCCTTATCTCCTAATATTGTAATTATACTTCTTGTAGAAAAATTCCTCTAGAAGCTGTCAGTCATACGATTCAAGTGGTCTAACTGAAACGGACATCAATGTTTAAGAATTTTTGGCTTGAGAAGATAGTATCACAATTCAGTTTTAATAAGATCTGGAATGAATGAACAAACTGTCATCCTACAAGGTAACCTTAACTGAGACGGAACATGTGATTCACCTCTTCACGTTCAAAAACCTCCAGTTCATGGTGATTATTCAAATACAACTCATCTGGATAAGTGCAATTCCTATCCAGTACGTAATAGTATTCATATCTTCCAGGCAGTAAGATGAGGACGAGATAGCAGCCGTATTCGTCGTGAAGCATGGTCCTCCTGCCAACGAGACACAAATGAGATCAATCAGTGAAGGTCAGCAACAGCAGCATTTGTTGTTGTACGAAGAGAAGCTCGATTGATAAAGCCGCAGCTCATCTGAAGCAGAAATCATTCTCATTGAACTTGACAATTCTTGGTGCCTGCAATCTGAGAAGCGACAACAGCGAACCCATAACAAGCATGTATTTTAATGTTTTGCCTCCACGTCAGCCAGTTACATTCAATCTTTCATCTAAGGTGGCTCTAGGAGACCCCCTTGTGACCCCCATCAATGGATAATCGCAACCGCACTTCCGTTTCCAACCATTTACTTTGCGTACATACGTTTTAAATAGTATTGTCTAAATAAATCAGTGAGTATCAAATCAAGCGGCAAGATTTAAGATTAAGCATCAGATACAATATATTTATAAATGTCGGCATTCGAGTGCTATCAGCGATGTGGGTTGAAGCCGCCGACCTGGTACTCCAGTTGTCCCATGAACCCCACAACTGGATGTTCGATCCTGCATGTTTCCAATTGAACGTCACAGGAACTCCGTCCAGTCTCATTTTCTCTGCCAAATCTTCGGCAGTCCAAATTGGTTCAGTATCTTCAGCGATAGTCCCAGGCTGCAGAAAAACAACACATTACTAAAAGTTTGATAGGAAATATCCAGTTTGACTCCACAACAAGCAATATATAACCAATTGTGAATCATGAAAGTTGAGGGCCCTCTCGAGTCTGTAAATATTTTCTCACAGGCATGGAAGAAAAATTTCAGACGAAGCGGTCACGTTGCCCAGGAGACGAGCTTTTATCCTCCAGAAAACAAAAAGACATAACAGGAAGAGTCACGCAAACACTGGAACCTAGACTTTTAATATCGTGAAAGGGGCCCGATTTAACTACAGTGTCTCTATATGATATTAGAAAGACCAACAATTTGAATTTGGATGCATTGTAAAGGACGTTCTTCCCAACAAAAACCTTCTGTAAAAAATACTTGGCCAATTCTCAGCGTAATTCGTTCAAGATCTCCCTGTGATATCAACAAAAGATATGAGGTGCTTCTCAAACTCCTTCTCACTTCATATTAGATTTTGAGTTAGTCTATATAATGCAAAGTTATTACATAGGGAAACTTTGCATTATCGGATTTGTAAACAATCGCTGAGTTTGACCCAAGGTTACACTATCCTAAGTTTCGCCCCGACGAACTCTTTGGGCTCTCATGGATTAGATGCTCAGGGAGTAGGAAGGGCGGATACGTCTGGAGTGCAAGGAGTAAATAAATATGTTCATTTATTTATTTTATATGTGTATGGGAAGAATATATATATATATATATATATATATATATATATATACACTTCCCTCTACTAGCTGTTGTTATATATATAATTACCAATTAGAGAAGTTCGTGAGATTTTTCAGCTTATGTATGGTAAGGGAGAGTAATATATTTGCTGACTTACCTGAGCAACGACACCAGCCGAACAAAACTCCATAATTTAACTCGAAAACTGTACTTCAGGTCAACTCCAATTTGGACCTGTGGTTCACTAAATGTAGAGTCCCTCTGGTCGAAGCAAACTGACACCTGCAGGAGAGCGAAATTTTCGTCTAGAACATGCACAGTGATGACACATTTCGATAAAGCTTAGTCGCAACGCGAGGCTTTGTCCATTGGAATAGCTGAAGAATAGGTCAAGCAGTTGAAAAATGCACTTAAAATGAGAAAATGGCGACTTCAGCACAACTAAGCACATCAGCTCTGAAATAAATTCGACAGGACGCATGCAATCATCACAATCCGACTCTGAACTTTTACAGCAGAAAATACCTGAGCTGCGGCAACTTCGATGCCCGAAAACTCTGCAGGGGATTATGACAAGCCTCAGCATCTGGCGGCATTCTTGTCGGCACTCTTTCCGCAATGTGCTCCCGACACCGGCTATCTGGTATCTGGACCCGCCCGTTATCCGCGCGTCACTTTACGTCGACTAAACCCTAACTACCTGAACCCTAAACTCGTCATCGCGCATCCCCAACTTCACCACAGTTACCCACTTCCATTCCTGCTCTCTCTGTACCATGTGTGCTTCAAACTTGACTGCGTTCCACCGTATCTCGCTTTAAAAACTGCGTTGTATTTTCATCCGTATAAGGAATTCGTAAGCGTTTAGGATTTAAACCCTAAATTGAACTCCAAGATATATAACTTTCTGTACATTACAATAAGACTTTTTATGGAAAATTTCAAAATAACTTTTGCACATATCAAAGTTATACTTCACTTTTGTAATATAATGAAGGTATTTCTGAAATAAGATAACTTTAACGGTTTTGAAGATAATGTATTTTAACTTAATTTCTTTAAAATTTATTTTGGTTGGACCCTGTAATGTATCAAAACAAGCAAATGGCAAACATTCATGCAATAGTTAACCATTTTTGTGAAAAGTTGGAAATCTATTTTGGTATGTAAGCTTTTCATTTCTTGTTAACTACATGATAATATTGTAAATTTTCATAGCAAGATTTTTTAATAAATAACAGATTTTCTATCTCTCAACTTTCAAATATTTGAAATGTAAATATATTTTTAAATGTCATAGCAACTAAATACAATGGGACTTTGAAAAAAAAAGTAATTCTAATAAATGAGACAAGTTTAGCTCTTTCATTGTGCTCAATTTGATATTTTCAAGGTATCATTTTGATATATCTAAATTAAGTTTCTTTCCGTTATTGATTTGATTCTATAAATTTGACATAAGATAAGTTAATTTTTTGAATTATAAAATGAAAAAAATTTCAAAACTACTTTTTCAAGCTAGTCTATTTTAATTTTCATGTACATCTAAATAGGTGTATGTCTTCTGAAACATTAGAAGTAAAAATATTAGATTAATTTATGAAAAGTTGTTAGATTCAATATCTATATACTCCAAATGGAAGCAAACTCTATTCCTGAACTTAGATTAATAAATACGCTGAAATTTCAATCATAAGATTTATCTTGGAAGACAAGATAAGATATTTTATCTTAATGCTCAGAAGTAATTTTCGGTTTTCATCAAATAAAATAGTTTTCAAATGACTGTGTATCATTTATTTGTACACAATTAACTTGGTTTATATTGTATTCTGACAGTTATTAAAATAAAAACCGCAGTTTCGGACCGCAGTTTCCACACACTTCCGAATAAGTGTTTCTGTAGCTGATCTCCATAACATGCAGACTGTTTGGATCTCTCTAGGAACCAATGCCAGTGATGAGACCCAAACGGGAAACATTAAAACTTTTCTTAAAACGACAGCATCTGCCACGTCTCAGTTTGGAAAGTATAGCAACGGCTCGTCACCGATACCAGCTCTCAGACCTAAGTCAAAGTCAAACCGGTGAGACGCGGCCTAGACACACATACGTACAGTACTTTGACCAAGGTCGGACTCCTTCTCCCCATCTGAGCTCCAAAGTGCGGTCAACCCTCTCCCTCCTCGCTACTTCCCAGTCAACCAGAGCTGCTTCAATCATTGTCATCCGGGTGCAGATCACGCGCCCATCCATGTCCTTGCTCAGCTGCGTCTATATAAACAGGAGCAACAATCACATGACCAGGCATTCCTACAGACAAGAGCCACACCTCTCTCCTTCCGACACAGCTCGCAATTGCATCAAGTTATCTTTAGCTGATTCCGGAACAGCGCTCGGAGAATCCATTGCTTGTAAGAAGTCGAGCAAGGAGTCGAGCCACCATGAAGCTGCTCTCTTTTTTCGGCAAGAAGGTGAAGGCTTCAGCTGCTTCCAGCGACCTGAACCCGTATGCTGGGTTCTTGACATCCGATCCACAGTCCGGCACTCCGAGTGCCAATAGGTCTCTTCGTGCTGCTGCACATCAAGCAAGAAAGACCCCTGCTCAGCGAATCGAGCGAAAATCCCATGTCGTAGATAAACTCTTCGACGCGGAGCATCAACAGCTCATCGAGGCCTTCAAAATCATCGACAAGAACGGGGATGGGAAGATTTCGCATCAGGAGTTGAGAGCCATGTGGGCCACCCTCGGGGAGAAAGTGACTAACCAGGAGCTTCGCCTTATGGTTCAGGAGGTCGATGTGAACGGGGACGGAGAAATAGATCTGGGAGAGTTCATAATTCTCAAAAGCAGATCCGAGGATGTCGAACAACGAGCTAGGGAGCTAAGAGTAGCATTCAGCGTAGCGGATGCAGACCGGGACGGCCATATTTCAGCTTCTGATCTGCAGAAGTTGATGAAACGACTGGAGAAGAAGGTCACCATCGCCGAGTGTTATGTGATGCTCCAATGCGTGGATTCCGATGGTGACAACTTGATTGACTTTCGGGAATTTGAGAAGTTCATGACCTCTGCCATCTTCTCAAGAAAATTCTGAGTACAGCACACGTGAAGAGCATGCGTCGTCGCACCTTTAAATCCCAAGCAATCTACATCAGAGTTTCTGTCGTCCAGTAACTGGATGCAGCATCTCCGGCCTTATGGCAGGCCTGAAATCAATGTATTTCAGGCTGCCTAACCTCAAACCAAGTGGACCTGTCGAAGACCAGCAAGACCCGAGGAAGCGAGCAGGTTTAGAGTTCCTATCACAGCCGTAGCCGTGCAATCCCGTCCATTCGGAGCTGAACAAAAGTGGGACGAACCCGGTGACCTTGTTACAGACTCACACATCGAGAAAGCTTATACCTCATGGAGCCTGAAAATTAAAGCACCTTTCTACAGCAGCCAGCCACGTAAACGGGCACAGATGAACGAGTGGATGTTGGTGACAGGATTGGCTGATCAATACATGAGATGGACTCCGGAAGAATTTACATGATCTGTTGAGGTCTTCCTGTCAAGTAGTGAAGTTCCATGGCGCAGAATTTACACGAGTCTCTGTGGGTAATTGAGCTGAAGTTTACATGTGCTCCACGAGTCCCATCCTCTGGATCGTACAGGATGTAAATGAGGTTTCCGACGGCTATTGATTTTATCTCGAGCAGAAAAATCATCTGCAACGCATTCAGTCTGCATATGTGGTCCGATATATCTAGACCACATATTAAGCTACTTCCTTCGAGATGATGCCGCTTATATTTTAAGCAAGCGAGCGTTTCGAACCATTGATTTCAAATAGTTTCAACTTATCTGCATATACTTTCAGTCTGCCGAAAATGTTCTTACAAATATGATGCAAAGATTGATTGTATATCCTTTCAAGGTAGTTGAACCGAGATGACAAAGATATGATCGAGAACCTTTTGCAGCGCATAATACAAATAAGAAACGCTTATTCCTCTGAAATCTCTGCTCATGCTTTCCCATACTTTGCTGGATCTCTCTACGCAACACTCTCATTAGTGCAGTGTTTGTTATGCGGAAGCATATAGTGATAGAGAGCAGACCTACACAATCCGTTCCCACTTCTAACGCCAATTATCACCGGCTTTCATATTGGTCGGTCGACTCTGCAAATATTTGACAGTCAGTACTTTCAAATTCACGTAAGTATCATTGTTATTGGCGAAGATTTCAATCAAAACTTGGGAGATTTGAGAAACTGGACTGAATTTGAGAGGCTACAAATTGTTATGGGGTTCCAACGTCGCCGCCATCCCAGACCTCATACCTTCCTCTACAAGGGTGACTCATGTCACAAAGAGAAATACCGACCACTTATGGAGAACTATGTTTGCAGAGACCGATGCTCCTGCTTGATATCGGAAAGAACTGATGCCGGTTTTAGAAGACGGGAATCTCTTTGACAAAGTAAGCCCTTCATTCGTTTATAGCGCTAACATTTTTATGTCCTTCTCAACTGATGTGTCACACATAGAAAGGTTACTACAAAGTTGTGACAAAGTCAGCCCTTTAAAACCCTTTACCATCTCTGCCTTTTTCTTCAAGTAACTTGTAATTCTCCCCACGTGTCAAATGCAGGGAACTCGGCAATAATACAGTTTCAATAGCAACATCATTGTCAGAAATATTACGATTACAAGTTCACCTGATAGCTAACCGAGTCAGCCATGATGTCTTAAAAGGCCTTTGTGTATAATTCTTCAATTCGGAACCACATCTTCCAATTATACCAATCTTTCAATAGGTTTTACTGATATTTATGCAATTTAAAGAACTTTAAAATCTATTTAAACAACATGTATTGATTTATTTCCTTTTCCCATCCAGCGTGAAGATTGCTACAGTAGTGGACATTGCTCTCTAGAGACACAAAAGATGCGAGAGGGCGTCCAAAGTTTGCACCATCCTCGCCATTGAAACCTGCTGTACACTTCACTTACACTGAGTTCGTCGGTGATAGTCAAAATGATTAACACTCGAAGCCATGAGTTGCACTCACAAAACACTGCGACTGATGTACTGGAGTAAACTGCATCAAGCGGTTTCGTGGTAGCACGAAGTGACAAGAATGTACAGACAGTCTTGTAATCATAACTCTTTGAGCCGGTAAGCGGACGGCTAGCAGGACTGCAGGCTAGAACAACCCCGACCCTATGACTGTGGGCTGACGGAATACAGTCACCGTCGTGAAGGTCTTTCTTTTGTTACCGTCGAGTGAAGAATTCACCCGTCGAGCTCGCACCCTCTACTAATCAAATTCGACATGTGGTCAGTAGATGTGAGACACGTGTCAGCGACCACCACATTACCCCGATTCACCACATTACCCCGATTCACGCGACCCGCCAGTCAATCCGCGGGATCACCATCAATCGCACAGGCGCAGCATTCGATCGATTATCCACCCCCTGTAACAAGCTCGGCTCAAGCACATCCGAAGGGGAGAAAATTCGTGGTACAGCCCGTCGCTGCACTCGCCTTCCCTCGCCCCACCTCAAATCAGTAATAATTTCTGAATCCGAAAATTTTCTCCAGCCGCTGCTCGAGATCGAACACGACTGTTTGCAAATTCAAAGTTAAACGAGGCAGCAAGCAGCAACCACTAAAACGATGCTGCTTCCTTCTGCTGGAGTACATGGAAAACTTTAACTAGCTTATTACTTTTTTTCTAAGCAATAAACGAGGAACTTTGAAGCTCATTCAAGCAGATTATGGAACTCAAGACTGTGCAGCCATTTTCGAAATTCAACTAAAATTTCCCATGAATTAACTTTGCTTCATCTCTGAAGAAGTAAAACACCACATCAATTATAGCAGTAGCAGATGACGTGTTACATTATCCTTTGTCATAGTTGGTTTTTGACGTGCCACAACACTTCTTCTACCTTTCATTTGGTGACTTCTTCCATCATGTACACTTACGTCAGTTATCTCCTCCGGAGCTCTATCGGAGGAAATATCTGATCGGCCAATTTAGCTTTACACTTGTGAGTGTCTGATAAGCAGACTTTCGACCTCGACAGAAGATCACACCAACAGCTCAATCGCCCTAAAACTGAAACGCAGAAATGCGGCTATATGGATCCAACACTCCATACGGAACTCAGATGTGACGCTCAGAACAAGCAATACAGTCATCGAAGAGAAACAACAATTTGGTCACAACACAGTGCCATCATGCTAACACAACCAAATTTAGTGGCTAGAGGATATGCGGCCCAGTACAGGTGACAGGCGACGAGGATCTTGTTATGTTGACAGTGTGGACGGGTGAGTATAATTTGCTCATAATCTCCAGCGGTGTCGATTCACCAACTGAGCTGCTATAGTTGCACGTCCTCATGGACTCTTCCTCCTCCAGTTACTACGCGAAAGTGGTGCTTCAAATCTATGCCCTTCAGACGGAATTGGTGTGGGACCGGGGGATCTAGCTCAGCAGGGGAAGTTTGTTAAAGCCAACGGAGTGTACGCTTGTTTAGAATTTCTTACAGAGATTTTGAAACATCTGAGTCTCACCGCACAATTCGATGCAACTTTAACCAAATGACTGTAATACTTTTCGATTTTTGTCTTTATGAAAACTCAGGAGACCAACATTTGAGTCGGTTATAACTCAGAAACACAGCGTTATTGAATGTTCATCATCGGGTTCAGATGAAAAGAGTCAGAAGGCATTTCCGAGTCGGCTCATTGATCGTAGCTTGGGACGTAGATGTGACTATAACCGGCTCTGCTAGTAACCAGTTTCCCACATATTAGCTCCAACTCCTCACTCTCCCCGAGCTCGCCTACGCGCGGGATAGAGGAAGACGATGAGGATAGACCAGACGGACGAGAAAACAAGCATGCAAGGTTAAGTGCTGGGGAAGGGAAACGGAGATCAACGCTGACATCGAGGTTTTAGAAAGCCCTAGGAGAATAAGCAAAATTCGAAACCCCGCCCTTCTCTCAAAGCAGCAACGACGGAAACAATGCTCTAGCCCTACAAAAGCAAATGCTGCTGTCAATCGCCTAGCATAAACTTGAATGCAGGAAATCACTCGCCAAATCGACAATTGAACTCGCCTGATCCGCCATCGGCAATCCGAGAGTGCATCATAAGAAATGCTAGACCAAAAGGTAGTTTCGCTTGGGCGCCAAACGCGGAACCCTGGGTGACGCTGAAAACCACTTGGTGAGGGTGACACACAAATGGTGTACGTTTGCAGTAACCACGGATAGCATAAAGCATAGCCCGGATAGTCGAGGTTTATCTAGCCAAAAGTTTAGCAGGATGCATAACCGGTAGCGAACAAAATTAGCAAGCTAGCCACGAAAACGGAAAACTGAGCCGGTAAGCGGATGCCTAACCTAGCTGGATGCAGATGATGGCACCAGAAAGTAAAAGCCATAGACTGTAAATCTACTCAAGGTACCAATGTAATGTTACAAAACAATTTTAACAGAAGATTATAGCTCATTCAACTTGTAGTCCATGATCTAGGGCAATTTGAGGTTTTAGCTATTTAATTAGTTTCTATCATTCTTACTTTCTGTTTTTATTTGTATGATATGAATAATTCGCAAAAGCAATTGATTTGAAATTGATTATTTAAAAACTCAAGTATATGAACGTTGTCAATTTTTTACTCACAAATATAATGTTCAAAAAGTTTTCAAAATGTTAATAGGGACATTCTTGAGATTAACAGATAATTTAAAGAGTAACCTTACTTCTGATTAGAAATATTTTGTAAGAAATCTTTATCGATGTTGGGCTTAAGGATTATCAAGAGAAACTTAATTCTGTTGTTGTATAACATTACTGTTTCTCTTTCTAGTTATATCTTGGCATTACATTGTGTAACCAAAGTAGAACATTCGAAAACGAGGAAACGTGTATTTGATAATAAAATCTTGATTTCATTTTTTTTCACATCATGAATGGATGGTTCATTTCGTGACGTACACTTTATACACCTCAAAACAACTCAACCAATTAGCATTGATTTATGACTTTCGTCAACTGATCGATCATGCTGACGGATTTGGAGCTTTCGAGCAAGAGGTTGTCTTTGATTTTGAGAGACTGTAATTATTGTTGGGGTTAAATTATTATTGGGATTAACATGCTATTTTTAGTTTTTCTAGTTGGTTGCACTGGGGTACTTAATATGTCGATCTTCTGTATCATTCTGTATCGATCTTCTCGCTGCACATTATATCAAAATGACTTTGTCCCGTATGCCCCTGAATAAACCACGTACTTGTCGCGCGTCTGTGTCTTCTTGTGGAATTACTGAGTTTAATGTCTGAGTGACTAGTGTTGAGTGAGTTATATAACCTTCTATTAGGATTATTATATCTACGCGGAGTAGAAAGAAAACTAAGAAAAAGGATGCATGTAAACAACATGGAACATGTTTAAAGCCCAATATCATCATAGAAGCTAATATTTGATATAAATCTATGAAAGAACGCGAGAATAGGGAAAAGAAACTAACATGATTGTTGGCTATTATTATCATGGATACTCGGAACTTAAAATAACAAAAATTTTCATACATTAATTTTGATTCATCTTTTAGTATTTTCTACTTGACAAATGCAGAAGATGTATTGGGTTGTGTACAATTGGTGGCTTACCTGGGACACGACACCAAAAGAACAAATCTCCATCGGTTCACTAGACATCTCTACGAGGTCCCTTCTAGCAACAGATGTTATTCAATGCAAAGAGCAGACAAGCCAACATGAGTTTATGTGGAAATTTTGATGCTTTTTGAAATTTTTGAACTCACTATATTTTGCAAAAATCTCATATAAAATATACTTAAAATATAATCTCATATAATTGATCATAGTATACATGAACATGGTTTCTTTCATTCTGTATCTATGTCTATAAAAAATTTGACTCTTTACAATGTTTGAATAGTTACTAGAAAC